TACTTCAAGTGAGGTTCTATGCAGTGACACCTCATTTAATTTCTGTAAAGTGGTACATAATTTGAGAAATTATGCCTGACAACCTGTAGTGATTAACTAGCTATAGTGAATTTTTGTCACTGCAAGGGATTAGCTCAGCTGCTTAGAGCATGGTACTGATAATGCCAGAGTTGTGGGTTTTATCCCCATATGGGCCAATAATATAAGAGTTGAACCTGATAATCCTTGTAGGTCCCTTCCAGCTTAGAATATGCTGTGATTCTGGATATATATCCTGACCGACTCTTCAGGCAAGAAAATCAAGATGCAAGAAAAATAGAAATATGACCCTAAAAATCCAGCCTGGGGTGACTTGGAATGGATGTGAAAATATGGTCAAATGCAGACCACTGAAGCACTACTTGCTTTATAAACCTAAGATGGTGAGAAGTGAAGATCGGCATAAAAGAATGAAAGTTTTGTTATGGTTCTTACCCTCATTGCTAGGGGTTTCAGTAAAATCCTTGTCTGTTTATAATTTTCCATGGTGCCCATTGGTTTATAATGGATAATGGAATCCCCTTCTGTGGGAACTATGTGCCAGTTCATTCTTGAAGACTCTTGAAGAAGTAAGAAATGCAGCTCTTGGATACCTTTATCAGACTTCCAGGGATCACCTTTGTGTTGTGGTAATTCTGGCCACTGGGGGTTTGTGTAGGGGGTTGAGCTACCTTACCCCCATATGGCCATGTCCTAAAGGTCCTTTTAAGATGGAGGATATGTATTACTTGAAAGGAAATGGAAGCAAATGCTTCCATGAGCAAAGTCAGGACAGAGTTACTAATTTGCCAAAGAGATGAAACAACATACAGACCTGATCTTATAAGTTTGATTGGCATAGGAACTCCATGGATCAGGCTGAGGGAGCCTTACTTTTGAGGGCACAAGCTCTGAGAAGGATTCTCATGCAAAAAAACCAAAACCAAAACCAAAAACAACAACAACAAAAAAACTGGCTGAAGAATTTTGTCCCGTATTGATTTTCACCTAGAAAGTATGGAATACTGTTTGCAATTCTAGTTAAGATGGTTTTGACCATTACCTGTTTGTGCATTTACCAGTGTAAACCACTTCCAAAATCTCTGAAGAAGCAGGTGGAAGGCCAAGAAGATGAGAAATACATGAGTTATTCAATTAAGTGGAGGTCATAAATGAACCCCTTTTCAAGTTTCTTCATCAAACTTTTGTCTGAAAAGAGAAATTTGCAAAGAGGGAAGCAGGTGTCAAATTCCCTTTTGGCAGCTGGATCTTAAAAGCAATTAGAATGAAGAGCTACCTGATCTAAAGCTCAAGACACCAAGAGGATCTGCCTTAACAAGTGGAAGGAAACACATATTGATGGGGTTTACAGCTCTCATGCTGTATGGAGGATGCAGAATGGTGAGGAAATGTGCTGACATGCTTAAATTGTGGCAGGATATAGGACCCTGGCACTGACAGTGAGGAGGAACTTGAGAATGATTTTTGAGCTCTATATGCAAACAGCTGTCTGTCTTCCAAAGCATGCTGTAGAAAAATAGAGGATTTGAACCATTAGAAAAGCAAAGGAAGTGCAATAGCCCAGATTTTGATCATAATTACACCCAGGTGGTTCTGAAGTGACTACACCCGTGTCATTGAAGTTACACCAGTGCAAAACTTGTGTGAGAACTGAATCAAGCTCTTTGTTTTCCTGCATTTGTGTACCAAAAGAGTACTCTAACAGCTCTTAGTAAATAATAAATTAATAATGATATGATGATCTCCCTTATGACTGGAATAAATACAGAAAAATAAGTGTCAGAGTAAGAATTTGCTCGCAAGACTATTTGAATATGTCATTTGTATTGAGTGTAGGTTGATTTGCTGGACTAATTTTAATTTCTGGACCAATTTAAATTTTTATTTCAAACATCAGAAACATCCAATGTAATCAGGTAGTATGTGGTGAACAATAGAAAGACAACAACATATAGGTCATAGTTCAAATGAGCAAGACTTTGTTCTTTGCATGGCAAAGTACATTTAAGTCCAAACCCCCAGCAGAAAGCAGTAATGAAAACAACTAATGAAGGCAAGTGCTTTTTCTGACTCCCTGCTGTAAATCAAATAAGATTTTAGTAGCTTGTTTCATTTGTGTTTCCCCATTTGTGTCTCAGAATACACCAGATTGCAATGTTACATCACATTTTTAATGACTGGAACCATGTCCTGAGATCCCCCCTCTGACCACACCACAACTTCCTTCTTTCCTTTCTCCTCCTGGCTAGAGGACTGTATGTAATTATGATGAGGACATAATTCAATTAATTATTGACAGAACATGTAATTGCCACTCAGATCTCTCTCTGATAAATCTCTCTGCGCTCTCTGACTTATGTTTGTCGTGCAGTAGGGAGGTGGAAAGGCACTAAAAATGCGTTTTAAAGATAGGACGTTTCTCAATTCTTTGTATCAGTCGGAGAGGCTTCTGCCGCCCGGGGCTCTTTAGATGTACAGCGTATTGTTCTCGTCTGTGCTAAACAAGTATCCCCGAGAAAACTCAGTGGGATGGAGGCTTATGATTCATTTTAAGTGGAGGATACAATAGAAGCAGATAACTTTGATTTGTGCAAAGGAAAAGTGTGATCTCTTTCAGGGATTCCAGGAATTCATAGCAAATTTTTCTTCTGTTGCTGATTAAAGAGAAAGTGATAAATAAGATCTCTGTGTTCGCTTTAAAGGACTGTAGCTTTAGAAAGCTGACTTATTTAGGGGAAAAAAAAAAATCCTGACCTCATATAGCCTTTGACCAAGATCTGCTAGTAGTAGAGAGTAAAGATGAAGCTGTTTCTGTTATTATTAAACCCCACAGTGACCATTTCTGTCTGTATGACCGGAAAATGTCCTGAGGGCCAGGCCGGGGTGGGGATGTACCCAGGTCTTGCCGTAACTTTGGATTACAACTAAAGCTTGCCAAAAACGGGTAATGGAAAGAGATAACGAGGTGAGAAAGCAAAGAATGGCTTTATTGTAAAGTCGGGAAAACTAAGCTGTAAAAAAAAAAAAAAAAAAAAAAAAAGCAATCGCTTGCACGGAGTCTGCCCTTGTAGTAGAGAGGAGACCCGCTGCTCCTCTGCCTTCGGTTTTGTGGGGCTGGGAAAGGCGCTGCAGGGCAGGGCAGGGCCAGGCCGGCACCGTGCTGGAGCCCCGGGCAGCAGGGCGGAGCGGGGGCTCCGCTGTCCCGCGGCGGGGCAGGGCGAGGGTGGTGCTGCTCGGGAGCCTCGTACCAGGGAGGAGCGCTCATTCGCCCCTCGTGGGGTGGCGGGAGGGAGCCGAGGCTGATGTGCCCATGCAGGCGGGAGGCACTGACGGGGGCTGGCCGCAGCTCAGGCATCACACCTTTGCCGTGCCTGGCGGGCGCTGCCCGTGCCGCAGGGAGCGGGGTGATGCCGCAGGGAGCGGGGTGATGCCGGAGGGAGCGGGATGATGCCGGAGGGAGCGGGGTGATGCCGGAGGGAGCGGGGTGATGCCGGAGGGAGCGGGGTGATGCCCTGCCGCAGCCTGTCCTGCTGCCTCTGCCAGCGAGGCTCCCCTCCGCTCCGGGACTTCGCAGAGGGCTCTGTGCTTGCGCCCAGCGCCCGGCCAGGGGAAGCAGAACCACTTCAGGGTGGGCTCTCGCCCCGCCGCCCCAGCAACAACCGGAGGCACCTGAGCCGGGCGGGACCGGTGCCTGGAGCCCGGTGCAGGGCGGTCCGCTCTTGGGGGCAGCGGAAAGGTGAAGAAGGGCTGAATGGGTTTCGACCCCGTCAGAGCAGGCGCAATGGCCAGGCGGGTCGGCAAGCCCGAAGAGGGCACCTGAGCCGGGTCCTTTGACACCTCAGCAGAGCGGCCCGATTTCCACGGGGCTGCGGGGGCAAAAGGGACGGACGCGCAGGGTCGGAGCATCTTATTTCTTTGTGAGGGACCACACGGTGCAGCTTTTGTTGCGGAGAGAGGCGGGAGCAGTTACGCGTGCTACTCTAAACCGTGAATGTTGAAAGGCTGGAACACTGCGGGTCCAGAGGAACATTGTCAAGACAGGGGCTATAACGCCCTTACAAACAGCTTCCCGCAGGTTTAGTTTAGCACTGCGGGCGCGACTCGGTGCCCAGCTGCGGAGAGCGGCGTCCGCGGCTTCGGGCCGTGCACCCCCCTCCAAAACTTAGGGGCTTAACAGCTCGGGCACCTCGTCCCGCTGCTGTCAAGGACGTGGAGGCGTTCAGAGGCGCCACGGGTGGTCCTTAAAGACCCACTGTTTCTGGGCAGCTTTGTACGGCTCCTGCGGAGGCTGCGGGATGCTCTCCACGCCCTGTCTCACCTGTCGGGGTCCAAGGGAGCAAGGTTCGGCACCCCGCATCCTTTCCAGCGTAGATGCCGGCCCCCGGGGGTGGGGATGAGCCTCACAGGGCCGGGCCGGGCGCTGCCCTCCTGCCCGAGCCCTTCAGCCGCGCTTCGCCGCAGGTGCGGTTCGCGCTGCCCCGTCCGGGCTCCGGTCCGGCACCGCCTGCGTGCCCGAGACGAGGCGCCCTCGGCCGGGCGGCTCTCCCGCCCAGGACGGCTTTCCCCAGCCTGTGTAGTCGGTCGGGACTCACTTGCCTGCACGGCGCCGGTCAGCCCTGCACCTTCGCCCTGCAGGGCTCAGGGCTCAATCCAGGGCCGGCTCACCGGGGTCACTGACGGAGCACGCGGTCCTCCTGACCGGTCTCCACCCTCAGGAGCCCCGGAGGTTTGGAATTCCCCATGGGGACACCCAGTACCCTCCCCTTCCTCCGGGTCGCGGGCGATGCGCGCTCCTGCCGCTACGGAGGCAGAGCTCGCCGCCCCCAGCCCCCGGCAGCGCATCCTCTCCCGCCTGCCGCTCCGCCTGCCCCTCCTCGGCTGCGGGGGGGTGCTGCGAGGTAGGCAAAAGGGAAAGTGAACGTAGCGGTCTGAAGATAGAGAAAGGCAGTCAACCTTAGACGTGTAGTTACTCAACCTTTATTATTTAAAAAAATTCATAAAAAAAAGGAAGGTGAACGAACGTCTTACAAAACCCCCCCACATAAATAGGACATTCCGTCCAGCTCTGGCTATTGGCAGTTCTAGTATTTGACAACATCAGACGCGATTTCCTGGCATTAGAGAAACCCATTTCAAAATCGGTCATCACAAAGAAATACTAGAAATCCCAGTTAGCACTTGCTAGGCAGCACGGAGCACTTGTACACAACTTTTCAGACACACACCCGCGCACACACGCAGCCGGGAACAGATCCCGTAGGAAGAGAGCCTCCTTAAAAAATAGTAAACGCTTAAAAAAAAAAAAAAAAAAAAAAAGGAAAGAAAGAGAGTTATTTACAAAACGCACATGGAAATACAGTATTGACAGAGCGTGGCTGGCAAATCAACATGATTTGAATAGAGAAAGGACTGTGGCACGTCTTGCTCGAAAGCTCGCACAGCAGCCTCCTTCGAGTGTCCCCGCGGGAAGACAGCTCCTGCCATCTGCGACGCAGTGCCTTCTCCCTCCCCACCTCTCCTCCCGCCCTCTCTCGCCTCTCCACTCCACCCCTGCGCTTCTTGCCAGGTCCTTTTTACACTTGGATGACCACCGTGCCGGGGCTCTGGAGCCGGGTTTTGTACTGGTCTAGCCAGCTCCTCAGCTCCGAGATCTTGTAGCCCTCTGGTCCTCTGCCTCCCTGGTACATCACCTTCTCCTCCTGGATGATGTAGAGCCTCTCGAAGTAAGCACCGTAGGCGGCGCTGGAAGCATTGTCCATGGTGTCCACGGCCAGGGGGCAATCGGGCGCCCCTTCCCTCATCAGCTGAGCTGCCCGCAGCCTGTCCTGGAGGCACTGGTGCTTGGGGATGTTGTAGGCTGCATCCGAGCTGACCCAGCCGTCGGAGGGGTGTGCTTCTTCAATGTACACCAGCAGGAAGTCGGCAATGTCCACGAAGTGCGCGGCCAGGCGCTGGAAGGACCTCAGGCGGGCCATGAACGGGGGTCAGGTGCAGCTGCCGAAGTTGAGGATGAGGGGTCTCTTGCCGCGGGCGAAGTCCAGGATGCGGAGCCTCTTCTGCCCGTCCAGCTGGATCACCTCGGGGTTAGGGGCCAAGGAACCCACGTGCGCCGACTTGAAGAAGTCCAGCTTCTGCCCGTGCCACACGGCTTTCAGCGACTCCAGCGTGAACATGCGGTTGGAGTCGGACACGCAGACCGGGGGGTCGTCGGGGGGCGGCTCCTCGCTGGCGCTGGCCGCCTCCTCCGCCTTGGGCATCGTCAGCATCTTCTTCCTAATGCACAGAAAATCCAGGAGCCAGAGCATCACGGCGGTGAGCAGGAAGCGGGGAAATAGGAGGATGCAGGCGGCCGCCTGGGTGAGCAGCTGCAAGGTGTGAACGCCGACGGAGTGGAGCATCGCAGCGGCTTGTGCTGCAGGGCGCTGGCTGCCGGGGGGCCCCCACGCACCCTGCGTGCCGGGGTCTGTGCAGCACAGCTGAGATCCCGCTTCTCTTTAAGCCCATTTTATAGTCAGGGATTTAAATGAAAAGTGACTCCACCTCCGTCCAGAACCCGCCCCTCTGGAACTTGAGCCTGGGGATTACCTACCCCTCCACTCTAATGACCTAAAAATACACAGACAAAAGGGGAGAGAGCCCCGGCGGGAGCCACAAGGGACGTGCAACGGAGCAGGGTGCAGCCGCTATCAGGCGGAGCGGAGAGTCCGACACAGGGCACCGCCGGGGCCCCCGGCCTCCGGTAGCGGCGGGCGCTCACGAACAGCCCCGCCAGGGACAATGCAACAGGCACAGCCCGCCCCCGGCCCGGCTCCCCACGGGCCGTGCGGGCGCGGGCCGGGCGGGCGCGGGGGCCGGGGCCGTCCCGGCAGCGCCTGCAGGTGACAGGGACAGCCGCCATCGCCGCTCCTTGCCGCGCCTTCCTCCCCTCCCCGCCCCGGCAGCCCGGTCGCCCCCTGAGCGCAGCCTCCGCCCCACCGCACGCCCCGGCGCCGCGGGAGCACCAGGGTCTCGAACCCGCGGCCACATCCTCCGGCGGCGGCGGCGGGACGGGCGGCGAGCGCTGCCCCAGCCCCGCTTTTCCCCCGGGCCCGCGCTGGGCGGGCCGGGCCCGGCGGCGGCGGCGGCCCCGGCGCGGGGGGCACCAGGTGGGCGCGGGCCGGTGGGCGCTGCCCCGGGCGGAGGAGGGGCGCGGGCGGCCGCCAGAGGGAGCTGTTGGCCGAGAAGCCGCGGCGGCGGCGGGAGCGCGGGGCCCATCAGCCCCGGCCGGGGCGTCCGCGCCCGGCCCCGGCCCCGCCACCTGCCCGGGCCCCGCCACCTGCCCGGGCCCCGCCACCTGCCCCGGCCCCGCCACCTGCCCGGGCCCCGCCACCTGCCCCTCACGGCACTCGCGAGTGCGGGGCGGCATCGCGGCCGCTGCGGGGCCGCTGCTCCTGGAAGCGCAACAATGGGTGGGCAGAGGGGACGGCGGAGGCCACAGGAGGAGAGCGCCGCGCCTGCGATGTCCCGCTGCTCACTGAGGTCCTGCAGCATCCCCGAGAGCAGCGAGTCGGGGCAGACACTCCCTTACGGCTTCCCAGGAGGAGCCAGCAGTACTTTCTGCACCTGCCAAGTGACATACAAACACAAGCTTCTCACGGGACGAGGTCTGGCAAAATCCTTAAACCGAGGCCTGAAGTGTCACCTCACGGGCATGGCCAGGTAGACCTGTGTGCTGTCCACAGAGTGGACACGCGAGTCGTTTTGGGTTGGGTGGGTTCTCTATCAGTAGCAGAGTGCTCACTATGCAGGGCTGAACACTGACTAGCCAGCTTCAGTCTTCACCCATCAGGAGGAATTATGGCCTGCAAATTCCTTCCTGCTGAACTAGATGGAGACCTGTCCCAGAAGAACAGAGCTTAAATGTAATTTGGTGGCTCTGCTCAGAACTTTGCCATTCCATTGTTGCAGGGTTCCCAGCTTGCAGCATGCAGTTCATTTCCCCACCAGCTTCCTCAGAAAGGGACATTACTTGTCCAAAACGCTGAACACTGCCCTCTGCTATGCAAATGTGGCTCATGCAACCCTGAGCTACTGCTGCAGCTGCCACTCACCTAGGTGCCTGGCACACTGACTTTGGGACGTGCAACGCAGTGTGCCTCTGGGTCCTGAGTGCCCTGTTTGTGCCTGTGGCCAATGCCAGGTCTCTGGCTGCAGATTCCCAAAGACCCCAAGGACCTGCAATTCTCCCAGGCGCAGTTTGTACTCCAAAAGTGACTGTGCATGTCTGTACCTTCCGTCTATCATCTGCAAAATGGAAAAATGAATGCTGAGCCTCCTCATGGGAGGCTAGGCAGCTTGCTTCATTTTTATGTAGCTTATTACAAGAACCCTAAATAAAAGGCAAAATTAAAATCCCATTTTATTTTTTTCTTTATCTGCTTCTGAATAGGCTTGTTTAGAGCAATCTAATCAGATGGCTGATTTGTAGTGCCCTGGTGCATCATCTTTAGTTGGAGTCAGCAGCAAGGTAATTCAGCATTTTAACATCTGAAGGGAAACGTATGCTCCAGCCCTCATAAAGCCACGTTCATCCACTAGCCTGATTAATAACTTCTTTGGCATTCCACGGTGCTCAGTCCAGGGAAAATTACTGAGTAGATATTTACTATATTGTCAAACTTATTTTGAACTATTCATGTGGACCTCTCACCACCTCTCTGTGCAGTTATGCAATCTTGAAAACCACAAATTAAAGCCTCTAAAGAGATGCAATAACAAATTGTGGTAGCTCTGAAGAAACCCCCAGGAAAAAAATTGATCTCTCAAAGTGACCTCTTCAAACTATGCTGACAGACAAAAGCCTGAGTAAACAGATGGGTTTGCAACCCTGAATATCAACAAACTTTGCTCTACTAGATCAGTGAGAGATATTCCGAGGTAAAAATGCTATCTGGTCTTATATACTCTATTTGCAGCTGGATAGGGACTTTGGAAATGACTATTTCTCCATTCCCTGTAAACAGCTTTGCTTTGTTTTTATAGCTTGAAGGAAACCTTTGAATTGGAGTTTCCTATCCAGCCGTGCATAGAGCAGAGAACTGAAGCATTTTGCTTCACTAGCCCACTGCTACACTTTCCTGCCACAGGAAAATTCAAGCAAGTCCCGAGGTCACTGTTTCATGGTGAAACAAACAGTGGCTCTGCATGGCCCTACCATGTCCCTACCTCTGCATGGCCCTAGCCCTGCTCTGACGGGCTCAGCCGAGGTGCAGCACTCGTGGGAAAGGGTGGAATTCCTTCTGCATCCCTTTGGTTCTGTTTGAAGTGACGTCTTGGTGCTGTTCTCACGTCTGTGTTAAGCTGGATGGTTTTCAAAATCCTGTGTTTTAACACCATGAAAGCTCCTCTCTACTTCCCAAAGGCTGTACCTCCCAGTTGGAACTATTTTTAGGTGTGTGAAGGTAGTCAGTATTTCTAGGAATCCATATCACTGATATTAATAGTATGGGAACTTATATCTTCCTGTATACTGAGGATTTCATAGAATATATCCTAAAATATGGGTTTTACAGTGGCACATCTGGTTATGGGTGGTTTTTACTCTTCTGCATGTGGTCTGTGGTTCAGCAGTCACTAACTTAAAAATACATAAGTTTGTATGTGTGTGTCCTCGCACAAGTGCACATACATGGTTCACATTATTTCCTTTTTTCTGAGAACTTTATAGCTGTAGTTTTTCTTCATTTGATAAATGTAATTTATAACTCTTTTAAAGTTCTTTTCATAAACAGGAGCTACAAAATAAATTCAGCAACTTATAAAAGCAAAACCTCAAAAAGCTGAAATTAAAACCATCAGGTCTGCTTTGATGTAGAGGATGTGTTGAAATGGTATATTTACATGTTTATTTTCTATTTTATAATTTCCTGCACAAAGGCACGCAATACTTTCTGACAGGAACTGAAATGTATTTTGGAAGAGTTCCACCTCTCATGTCATCTAAGCACCATGTAGTTAATGTGGTAGAACTCTATGTGAAGGAAATGAAAAAGACTTTCCCGAAATAAGAGCTGGGCAATTTCTACTCATCTAAGTGGCCACCCGGTGACTGAAGAGAGGTGCAGTGGTGCAGTGGTAAATTACTCACCTGTTTGGTATCTGTAAGAAGTGGGTAGATGTTATATTGCTGAAATTGGTGGTGGATAAACTCCATTTGCAGTTGTTTGCTTGTAGCAACACCTCTGGAAAAGTTACCGTATGCTGGAGATTGTGCATGGGTCTGGCTGTCTCTGGAGCTGCCTCTCGCCTAATCGTTCACCACTTTTAGATGACACCTGTTCTTATTTTCCTCCGTTCTTTTTTTTTTTTTTTTTAAATAAAATATATATGACTCAGAAAAAACCCATACAAATCCAAGCACCTAGGCAATGCCTGAAGTAGGTTTGAGTATGGAAAGAAAAAAAGTGCTGTGCTGCAGATTTGTCTGTAAAAACAGTAGCAGAGCCATGGCCTTTGAATCTCCTACCCACCCTGTCACTCTTACCTTCGAATACATGACAAGCATGTCACTCACGTATGACAAAGAGGTTCCCTGCACTGAACCTTTCAAATTTTTTTCCCTCACTTTTTGCTGACTCTGGATTGAACTGGGAAAGAGTTGTTTAATTTGGGAGAACTGATTCCACGGTCTCTGTCAGTCTGAATCATTCTTGTCCTGTGACAAGCACGCTGCAGGTCTGTTAGTGCAATGTTCACCCTGAGTAAGTGGAAACCAACATTTTCTTGAGCCTGTGAGCCATCTCCCAAGGCTTTGACATGTGACCAAATGTACAGTTCCCCTGATGTGTTAGTGGGTTTCTGCACCTGCCTCTCCATGGCTGTTCCCTAGTGCCCCTGTTGTGCCAGCAGCCTGTCAGGCAAGGGTAGAAACTAGATAACCAAAAGGTTCTGGATTAAAGAACTCTGGTTTTAAACCCAGATGGTTTTGGTGAGTGGGTTTACTTTAGAATCCCTAAAACAGTGTCTAACAGCAAAACTTTCAGGGCAACTTGAATGACAGAAGGTGCAACTTTCCATCCCAACAATCCTTCCTCACTTCTGCCTGCACTGTGTCTTGTGTGGTCCTAAAGTGATCTGCAGTGACATGCTTTGGCGACCAAGGAGGCAGAAGAGCTTGGCTTTAGAAAAAAAAAAAAAAAGTTATTTCCTTACAAGTTTGTTTCCTAAACTTGCTAATGATGAAAGGAAATGATCATCTGTGGTGCAGGGGAAGCACAAGAGAAATGGCCACAGCTTGTGGCCATGGCAGGGCTAACAGGACCATCCCATCAGACTAACTTAGCAATATTATCCATCCGCCCCGGGTGGAATTGCACAGGGAGAATGCGTTACGAGTAGAAACAAGTTTCACTGCAGATGTGGATAGTCTGTGGATAGTGGAAGAGCACAGATGTACAAGAGGTGCCAGTGGCTGTCACAAGGTCCTGCTGGGCAATGTAGCTGGATAGGGTGCACAGATGGCTTCTGGGGGGAGCCAGCAATATCACCTTCAACAGCAGCTGCTAACACACCTCCATCAGTGGGAAATCAGATTATCCAGAACCCCCTGTGCCAAGCACA